TTCAAAAGCCAATGAGTAAACCAAAACCTTTTTCCAATGTACAACAGTTTAGAAGCAGAAAAGTAAAAGTCAAGAACCAGAAAGTCAAGGTGAAATCAGAGAAGTTCAAAATGAACTAGTTGATCTTGTACAGACTACAACTGAAGCAGATGTTGATACTGAACATGTACAAGAACAAGCAGTGGTAGACCTGCCAATTGTATATGAAACTGATCTGGGTTTTAATAACAGTTTTATCAAACATGCAATCTTATTTTATCAGCACCGGTGATATTATATTTCAACAGAAAGATGAAGGTTTATTGCAATTGAAACTCTTGGACATAAATTAGTATAAATATGAAAGTATAATTTGTATAAATTGAAACCAGTATTGTACTCCTTCATTATTCACTCAACATCATAAATTAACTGGTTAGAATTCTGACCGCACCTGACTTTGCTACTCACCAGCAAATGGACATGTTTATTGTTTCAAGTGTAAGCTTATATTATCAGATATAAAAAAATAATTCTTCTATTACACAAGGATTTAATCATTGGAAAAATGGACAACGATGGATGATGTTGATACAACATGATGTCAAGCTACATGAAAATAGTGAAAGTCATGTTGGCTTGTTTAGCATTTGCACAGCAACATAGTGTGATTGGTTGTGTTGATAAGTAACATGAGAAAGTAATCATAAATAAATTTAAGTATTGTTTATCTGTTCTTCAGCAAATGATGGATGTGGTAAAGTTTTTAGCTGAGCGTGGTTTGCCACTTTGTGGACATAAGAGAAATTTGGTTCAATACACAATGGTAACTTTAAGGGCATCTTCCAGCTACTAGCTCTTTATGATCCTTTTTTGGCTGCACATATTGATAAGTATGGCAATCCAAGTGGCGGCAAAACATCATACTTATCTTCACTGTCTGTGATGAACTCATTAATTTGATGGGTCAAAAAGTACTTTTATTTTTGATGAAATACAAAAAAAAAAGTGCTATAGTGTGTCAATTGATTCAACATCTGATTTGCATGTTGATCAGTAGTCTGTTATAATTCTTTATGTAAACAAAGATGAAACTATTGAACATTTTTCGAAATTCATTCAAAGTTTGAAAGTCACACTGGACTGGACTGGCCTTGTTAGACTTTTTTCAAAGGCATTAACCCTTTTAAACACGCAGTGATTTTTTTTTGTTAAAGCTAAAATAGTAAGTTATACATAGTGTATTTAGTGCATCCAATACAGAAATCATTTTTCAATACCTGTATTTCTGTACTCAGTAATTTCAATACCGGTAATACAGGTATAATACCAGTATTGAATTTTTTTCTTTTAAACATGTGTTCTTCGTTAAAGTGAGTAACTTTAATGTGTAACACGTGTTTATATGTTTTTAAAATCCTGTAACTATATAAAAATTTCCTGAAAGTTACAGGATTCCACTACTATTAAATTAATAGAGGTACAGGAATTGTTTAAGTTCAGTTCATGTATAGTCACACACAAAAATGGAAAATTTGTCAATTTCATGAAGTTATTTTTATGAAAATAATTTGCTTGTGAGTATTTCAAGTGAATTATATTATATCTCTGCAACTTTTGAAGAGAAGTAGCACTCATCAAATATTTCTGTGTTATCAATCCACACTACTCACACACACTCACACACACACACAAAATAAAATGATATATATATATATATATATATATATATATATATATATATATATACATATATATATATATTTAAATATTCAGCTTAAAATATAAAAAAATATATTTTTGTTGCAGGTGTTCTTTAAGATAATAGTATGCATATTGCTATTAGGAAAAAACCAGGGCCTTAAAGAGTGCCTTACATATTGTATGAACAAGAAGTATGCCTTACATATTGTATGAAAAAGCTTTAGTTAAGGAAAGAAAATACTCTAGATTGTTTATATTAAAGAAACAGCATAAATCAAGAAGGCTAAAGCCTGATAATGATGGTGATGATGGTCATAATGATAAAGACAATAATCATAACGATGATGGCAATGATGATCATGTTGATCATAATGATGTTTATATATGCATATATATACAAAATATAACATGGATTTTGAATTAAAAAAATATACTTTATAAATGTTTATGCATCATGGTCACAAATCAACCCAGGCTATATTTTATCAAACCCAGCCCTAGTCCCAGTCAAAATTCAACACTGTTTGCTTCCTAATTGCTATAAGTCTTATAGCAAAAATAAAGAAAAATAAAAAATTATGTGCAGAAATGGAAAGACCCTGCTTTGTTAATAAAAGAAAGAAAGTTTTACTTTTAAAAATTAAGAAGTTTTATCTTTAATTAAAATTTTTATTAATAACTTTTATAAAAAATTTATTAATATACTTTTATAAAAAATCAATTAAATAACTTATCATTTTCTCCTTTCTAAACTCTTGAGCGAACATAATTTTACAATCTCATTATGAGCTTAACGAGCATTGTTTATAGCGCCTAG